ATACATAAGAGAAATATATAGAACGATATAAAATTTAATATTCAGTGTGTTTCTCATATATACTTCGTTAGATATGCATGATTTATAACCTTAATCAACAAAGTAACTAAAAAAACTATCTTGAAAATACATAGGTCGGAAAATATATAAATCTTTTATCGATCAATCGAAATGACACGAATTTCTGAATTTTGTTCACCAATAAGATCTCAGACATTACAAACATCGTCAGCTATGCAATTGGGAGTTGAATAAAGATCAAATAATAGACTAATCGGAGAGAAAAAAACTAATAAAGAAAAACACAGATTTTAATTTATCATGGATAACTTTTCATCTTTGAGCTATTATTCTCCTTTAGCCGATTTTACCAAATATTCAAGGATGTAAATGAAAATATATCATCAGGACTAATTGTGTAATTTTCGAAAAAGGTGCATATACTTACGAGTCTCACAAACATATCCTTCATAACCCTGAAGACATCGGCATTTGTCCATTTGGTAACATATTCCATTGTTCTTGCATTCCGGACTACATGTCACTAAAAAAAGGTTTTAAAATTATTTATAATAAGATATCAAACATTAACATATGAATTCGTATATATTTGATATGTGTCTTGAGTTATAATTTGAATTCAACAGATACAGAATTTTATGCGAGGTAACAGCGATATACATTGTAGCTTTTGGGTGATATTTGGCTAAAGCTGTGGATATTTAAATGTTTTTCTTAATTCTATATCAAAGTTATTAATATTTCGAGCAGGAAATTGAGCAGGGAATAATTATATATAAAGATTGCTTTCAATGTTTACAAACAGTGAAAACACAGTTGGACATTTTGTTTATTGTTGGGTATGTGCATGTGTTTAAATGGTATCTCAAACATTTTTATTTTGACTAAGTACCTTGAGTTTCACAAAGATTTCCTGCATATCCCCCTGGACAGTCACATTTTCCTCTAGCAATGCAAGTTCCGCCATTTTTGCAGCCTGTTGGACAAAAATCTTAAAAAACACAAGATTATAATATTATGATTTATCTGAACTTAGTGTTAAGATACCAACGCAAACAAGAAGGACAATACAAACAAGAAAACATGGATTAACTGGAGGCGTCAAGGAGCATGTATTGTTCACTTGGCATTTTTGCATAACATTAATAAAATGCAGCGAGAATATTTGAGTGAATGGAAACTGTGCAGGCCAAAATCTTGACTTACTGATCACTTTTGCCAGGCAGAGTTCTTCTTGATCTATTATATAGGCAAAATGAAACAAAAAATAGCTGCGCCATGAGCGCATGATACGCCCGTCGCTTTATCAAAGAATAAAGTTCAATAACTTCTCAATGTCATATCAGAAATTTATAAAAAAAAAACTAAAGGGAGGTTATTTTAATAGATATAAAACAGTTACCAAAGTTCCTGAAAACTGCTCAAAGCACTTTTGAGTTATTGTCAGAAAACTGGAAAATCACCCCTTTTTTATGAATAAAATCTCATAACTCGGAAACGTAAAATCAAAAATTTATAAAATTCGAAAGGAAGCTTACGTCAATAGATATAAACAATTCACCGAAGTTTCATGAAAACTGCTGAAAGAATTTTAGAGTTATTGTCCGAAAACTGAAAACTCCCTCTTTTTTAATGAATAAAACCCCCATAACTCGGAAACGTAAAATCTAAAATTCATCAAAAATCAAAAGGGAGCTCACATCAATAGACATAAACAAGTCACCAAATTTTCTTGCAAATTGGTGAAATCGTTTTTGAGTTATTGTCTGAAAACTGGAAAATCCCCCGTTTTTAATGAATAAAACCACATAACTCGGAAACATAAAATCTAAAATTTACAAAAATCGAAAGGGAGCTCACGTCAATGGATATAAACAATTCACCAATGTTTCATGCAAATTGGTTAAAGCGTTTTCGAGTTATTGTCCGATAATGTTGACGACGGACGGACGGACAACGGTATACCATAATACGTCCCGTAACCGGGAGTATAAAAATTGTACACAACGTGATTAAATGGGTAATTTCAATCATTTGACTTATTTGTAGATTTTATGTTACTGATAATTTCGGCCATGTCGACTTATTTGTAGATGTCATATTGGTGATCAATTTGTCTGTTTACAGTTTCGCTCTATTATATATTGTCCACCAAAAACTAAAACCATATAAAAAATGTAGTTAAAGGGCAATAAGATGTCATTGAAGGGCAATAATATCATTTAAGGAGTTGACTAACGATTTCGACAATGTTGAATTTGATTGGAGATCTTGTCATGCTGCACTCCAACGTTTCTCTCTATCTATTATAAGTTTCTAGATTGATGCCCAACACTGGATTAATGTGCAAGAAGCGTCTTGTAATGGTAAAAACTCCTATAACGACTCGACTAACCATTTCAGCCATACTGGTCGTTTTTGCAATTAAAGAGTCTCTCTATTTAGTACTGTTTCAAATATGTATAGCCAAATGCAAAAATCGTAAAAGTCGTCTTTTAATGAAAATAACTCCTAAGAATATAAAAACATTTAGATGTGTAATGAAACAGCTTTCTACCCGAGACCAAATAAGGTAAAAGTTAGCAACTATAAGTCACTGTACGGCATGCTTGCATAGCAGGAGACGATTACCCTGTCGACGAACCTGGTCCAGCTCCTTTTGTTGTTCATGCGATTCCCTCAGTTTTTGTTTGTTACCTTTATTTGTCTTTTCCTAATCAATTAAAAAAAAAATTGATATCGGTTAACTACTTTCGCCTAACCTACAAATGTTTTTACAATGATCAAAACCCATTCGACATTGCAAGCTATCAAAGACCCGACATGACAAATGTAAAACAATTCAAAAATACTAACGGCCTGATTTATGTACAAAACAATCAACGAAAACCAAATATAATATAGCGCAACAAATGACAACCTCATGTTACATCACACTACAAGAACACGCTATACAAATCTGTTGAAAAAGGCTTGATTCATTAGATCGATACGAAACAAAAGACTTACAAAAAGAGAAGACTTAAGAAACAAAGTACCGAGTACTGAAAACTAGTTCGAAGCCAATCACGGCTAATAAAAAACCATGTATACCCAAACTAAAATATCAATCAGTACACATCCAATTGATAAAGTCTAAAGACGTCATAAAGAGTCAGAGAAAAACGCGAGCTTGTGCAATTGCAAGTTTCTCTTTAATTATTATTATTTTTTAGAAAATCGAAAAACACCCCAAATATGTAATAATTGTCATTCAAAGGCAATAACTCGCATAAGGATTTGTCTTACTTTTTTTGTCATGTAGACTTAATAATTGATCAGATTTTTTGATCACTTTTCTGTGATACTTTTTCACTACCAACTATAATTTTCACACAAAAAATGACCCCGCAAAATATTGGTCAACATCGTCGAGTCTCAAAGGAGCGATAACTCTAATAAGGCTAATACTGACAATTTTTGCTGTGTTGATATACTTGTAAATCTTGTCGTGCGGATGAAATTTGCTGATTATAGTTTCTTTCTATCTATTATAGCTTTTAAGGATAAAGCCCAAAAACCGCAAAAATAGTTAAAAATCAAAACCAAAGGGCAATAACTCCTATAATGAGTCCTTTGACAGTTTTTGTCAGAATAGATAGTAGTTTAATATCGACATTTGAAACGTGTTTGTCCCGGAATTTTTTTTCTCCATCTATGTCCCTATGTTTTATTTTTAGCCACGAAGGTCTTGTTGGTTGACCGACGGATTTATCGGACATAACTTGTAAAATAGATACTTTATGATGATTGTGGCTAACTTTTGTTTCAATGGACTCGATTGTTTAAAAGGGGAATAGTTTAGTATAAGTTAACGGACGACGGACGCAGGAAAAAGACATCAAAAGATGGCAATAGCTCAAATTGGCCCTGTGGTCCAGATGAACTCAAATATTGGACAGTATAACAGACCACACAAACCACAAACTCCTAAAAAAGACGTTAAATAAAATAGAAACATAAACGAACATCACATTGACAAAACAGCAAAACGGTTTGGGTAAAAAAAACCTCCTCAAAATACTGGAATCACAGTTTAATAAACCAGTTCAACGTGTGTACAACCTAACCGTCAAATAAACACACAATAAAAAAAAACCTGCATGGTTTAGCTACCAACAGAATGACCGCGTACTTGAACAAGAAAATACAAGTCGGCACATAACTGGGAAGCAGGGTCGAAATGTGCTTGCCTGAGCTTTATGAAGCTTTGAACCAGCTATCAGAATTGTTCAAAACTTGTTTTGGTTGAAATCGAATATTGAATGTATAATGAAACTAAGTGACCTTGATGTATGATGCATGTCTATGTGAAAAACAGAACAATATGTAATGCCATATTCTACGGTGCACCATGCCGCGATACATTTTTTGCGAGCAGTTTTGTCCAAAATCGACAACGTTTATACTTTGCAAACGTTCAACTTTCGAAAACATTTAATAGGCGTTATGAGCAAAAAAGAAAAAAAATATTTTTAGGCTAGAACTTACCTGTTATAGTTTTTAAAAGTTTTGGCAAAGTTGTATCCAGGTTATCGTAGGTTGTATCAAAGTAATATTCCGGTTTGGAGACTAACGATTTGAGTTGAATATCATTAACGCTGCTCCCGATTCCTATCCCAATTATCGTTACGTTTTTGCTTTTAGATTTTGCCAGACCAGGTTTGTTTGTTTCAGATGACTGTCCATCAGTTAACAACACTAAAATATTATGGATATGAGTTCGTGCTCCACTCTCGCGTTTAAACATATCTTCACATGCGAAGCCAATAGCACGATCAATTTGTGTTCCGTCCTTTCAAAAATATGTTTTCAATATAGCGTCTGCTATTTTGTCTTTTGTATGATTATCATCGAGGTCAAAGCTTTTTCTAGCAGAGCTACTGAATAAAGCCAATCCAATACGTAGTAAGTCGTATCTGATAGGAAGTCTTTTAACAGCATTGGCAAGATACTCCATGGTTACACGAAAATTGTCATCTCCAACACTACCTGATTCGTCTACCACAAATATAATATCAGATGCTGAAAAAATTACAGCTTTTATCGCATGTTGTTTGGATGGCAATTTCTGTAGTGATATGAACATTCTATGGGAACTTCATATCTACAGTAAATGAATCTAATGTGTTAGTTTACCTCGAATTATTGTTCGCCTACATTTAGTATGTAAACACAAGTCATAATTTGTGGAATATCCACCCAAAATAATAATTGGTTTTCAATTATATTTCAACCTTATTTCAATTATTTTTAAAGCTAGTACCTATTTTTCAGAACTTAATATTTCATGTATTTTAGCCTATGCATATGAAGTACCAGATAAACAGAAGATAAATGGATTAATAAGAATACATTTTAGTTTTCGTATATCAATAAGAACTTTAACGGAAACCAATTTCGTTGATTCGACATACCATGTCTTCCGTGTATATTAAAATTTTGCTTGCAGCTGTAGGCCGCTAGTTTACGTGGCCTCTCCACAATAATGATGTGTATGATATAGTTTTAATGCCTACTAACTGAGAATGCTAGACAATGGGAATCAGACAATGTTTTTACAAGTGAGATATTAAATTACTGAAATTGTTTGGATAATGAAAACAACACATTTAAACAAAATTTCTGTCAGCTGAGGTTAAATGAAAATTATTTGAACTAGTAATATATTTCTTAAAAATACAAAGTGTGCTTATCAACGGTATCACTGTGCTGAATACTTCAATGTTTATAACTTTACAAACATACTTACGATTAACCTCACAGAAATCCCCTGCATAACCTGCTCGACAAGAACATTTATTTGGTCCGAAACAATCCCCGCCGTGTTGACAAAGAGGAAAACACTCATCTGTTGAAAAATAGTAATTAATCAACACTTTCTTTTTCAAACATAAATTTGTATTATATATACGTCTAAACGTGACAACTTTACCACAGACGTTCTCCATCGGATAACCTGTAGTTATACAGGGCTAACACCATAATTTACATATACTTCGTCTCAAATTTAGCCCTTCAATGTTAGATCTATAGATTTGTCGGATCACAAACTGGATGACTTTAACCGCATGAAAATCCTAGTGATTGAACAGAACATGACTGGAGTGATGCCCAGCGACAGGCTGGGGAAAGCTTCTGGATAAAGGAACTAAATGTACTTCATCCAAACGACATCAACAAGAAGTACTAGCAGTTTTATAGAGGGGCTCTTCTATTATTTTACATACATTTATACATACTACAGCATTTCTGACAATTTGGGATGTATATATACGCAGGAATGTTTATAGAATATTGAGTTATGTTTTATTTGATGAGGTTCCAGATTTGGGATTAAATCAATAGACCAAAACTTACCTGTATTAGTGAACTATTTTACACAAACAACTAGTATTGTAAAAATTATTGAGACTGTCGAATGCTATTTGTTCAGCCAAAATATTTGTCAACACGATTTTATAACATCATCTTCGTATATTATCATCTTATATTAGTACCTTTGCTCAAATCTTTAGACTATCACGATATCTGTACACAATAAATAAATTATATATATGCCTAAAGAGCGTATAAAACAACACCTAGTTTAAAAAAAGGAAATAATAAATATAAGTATCTATAAATATTTCGGATTACATATATCCTTCATCAGAATGATGATGATGATGTAAAATGAATCATAAAATTGAGAAATGAAATGGGGAATGTGTCAAAGAGACAACAAACCGACCAAAGAGCATATTTTTTTATACTGGTTAAACTAAAACAATCTTTACCGTTATACAAATTAAAATTCGATCAACACTTGTAAATTTCTAAAATTTGAAAGTTGACGAAGGTCAGGTATTTACAACAGAGACTGCATAGACACGCATCCCAAAAGAATAGTAATGTGCAATAAGAGCTGGTACAATTCTAAAATTTCACTATTGACGAAAGTTAAGATATTAAGTTATTACAACAGAGAAAGCGTAGATATACACCCCAAAGAATATACTAGTTCTCCAATGAAAGATCTTGTTATTTAACTTTTGAAATACAGCATATCAAAAATAATGGAATACATTATTTTTGAAGTAATTTTATGGATGATTTAGAAAAATTGCTTTTGATTGTCGTTTCAATTTTTTTGATAATAAGGACTTTTCTATTGTCTTTAACACACTACCATACAATCTTTTCAAACTGAAGTTTTCTTATTTAATTAAACAGTTCTTTGAAAAATCTGATTGTAGATTTTTTTGCTGCAACTCATATAAAGCCTTCTTCTGTAGTGAAAAAGGTAGATATGCTAGATATATTTACTGGAACTGTGATGAGTTGATTGAGGCTGTGAATGTTCTCAATATAAGTTTCGGCAATAAACGTTATCAACTGGAGGTAGGTATTCCTATGGGCAGCAATTGCGTCTCTTTATTTGAAAACTTGATCATGTATTGTTATGAATGTGACAGAGTATATTTTTACATATTTCATTAATTAGTATTTTACATTTTATTACATGCCGGATATTATACTTTATTCATTCACTCTGATCATTTGATCTTTTGATTTATAGTTTATTATCTCTTCGCGCTTTAAATTGTATGAAAGTTCTAGTCAGTCATACTTCATTGAGCAAAATTGTAATTGTATCTACCTGTCCAAATCATTAGTAAATTAATTGTCATACCTTGTTTACCTTTATGGTCAGTTCTTATTGGTCATTCAGGACACACCTCAGATTTTGGAAAAGAAGTAATGGTGGTTAATTCTTGAAAATTGGAGACATTCATATTTAATATTTACTTCTTATTTAAACCGTATATAGTGATGAAACTTATTTAAAGACATTCTATTTATCGCTCGTTAGTACTCACTGAAGTTTCCATACTTTTGAATCACTGTAGTTATTGGAAATTACATTCTTAATATCTGGTAAGTAGATTTTATGTTCTTTGTGGTGTATGAAAGGCGTATGCAGTGCATGCTGTACAATTCTGCCCGTTTATAGGTAAGTATGCCCATAGACCTTAGATATGATAGGAGTAAGATAGTTTATGTATTAATCTGAGAATATATGATTTGAATCTGTAGTTTGGATGTAGAAAGGGAGTTTTACGAATGATTTTGAAAGTGACCTTGACCTTTCAGTTATGGATCTATGACGTCACATTGACAATTGCGTTAATATTGCCATAAATGGTTATTTTGTGTAATAGCTTGATTTTATTATATCAGTCTTTAATATGTTGTATTTTGTAAAAGGGATCATTATTTTCCTAGATCCTAGTATTTACTATTGTGTATTATTTTCAGGACACATAGATTATGATGTTCCTGTAACATACTGGTTGTACTGTAAATGTTAGATATATAACCTGGTTCCACAGATTGGTAAGGGTCATATTATATTGTACAAAAATGTCAGTTAACTTGAGTTCGATAATAGATATTAAACATTACAGTAGTGCATACGAACTTAATAGCTAGAATACTATAGTGAACAGTTAATAACCTTTGTATGGAGTAAGATACATTCGACCTGTTTATAATACGCTTGGTTGATTATAATGATATGCTATTTGATACGACTTATCAGATATATGTATTTGTATTTAGAAATATAATTGCAAGTTTGTTGCATATTATGAATGTCACTGCATTCTTGATACTCAGTATAGTTTATTGTATATGGAATAGAATATTTCATCCGATCTTGTAACATTGTTATTTACAACAGTATAATATTTGTATGATTCTAGTATAAGACTTTAATAAGACTGTGATATTGATAAATGTGATAATTCTATGCTATTATTATTGCAGGGTTATTTTCCCTATGTTTACTTGTATAATAAAGTGATGTCAAAGAACCCTAGACTTTATGGAACCCCCGTAAAACAAGACTATTATATGAATCATAGTTTATAGCTAAGTTTAGCAAAGATTCGTCGCAATTCCATTAAATTAATAAATTAAATAACAACTGTCATATTCTTAATACTATTTGTCCTTTACAAAATCAAGAATTATCTTATTATACTGCAAATCTATCTTGGGGAACTAACTTAGAAATAATTTTAAAATAAACAGCAAAAATTGTCTTTTTTTAGTTTTGGATATTGCAGATTGACACGGGAAATTCTTTACCAAAATGTACGATAACAGAGACGAGTTTTTGTACTCTACTGTTATTTTGTTATTTTTTGGACGATGATGTTCCGTTGGATACTTTTACGGTGTGCATATTTCAATACTCTTTAGCTATATTCGTATCTTACGTGATGATTTTAGATTTCGATAAACGTTATCTATGAATATCTGGTATATTAATTTTAGAGAATTCGTTTCAACAAGTTACTTAAATTTTTTTACTACATTCTTTCAAAGATATAAGGATTAATTTCGAATTTTGGCTGTACCTTTAGAATTCTTATTACAAACGTAAATTCGTTTCTAATTTTACGATGGTGTTGTTTATAGTGCCCGTAAATTTAGATAAATACATGTAAACTCAAAAATCTTTAAAATATACCTCTTCTTATTTGTTACCAATTTAACACCGTAGTGAGATATTTGAATATTGTTTTTATTATCGATACAACATCGATCCTTTGTTTGATGAATTAAAATATATATTGCTATACAGTAATGGAATATATGGTCCTACATCATGCCGATACAATGTACTTATATTTTGGCATCGCACTAGGTCATTCTTTTCTCAGACTGTTTAGGACGACTTTTTGCGTAGTACGCTGGAAGTATCATGATTGATACTAATGGCTTGGAAAACATAATCTATTTGAAAGTTGTAATTGGCTTTGAACTAGCTTTCCGTAACTGCAACTACTCTCAGATCGGTACCGTGTGGCTTTTGTCTTTATATTTGTTGTAATGTGTTCTTCGTGCCGATCGGATGAGTCAATCAATTTCCAACTGATATTACAGTTTGTTATTATGTTGCTTTGCTAAATTAAGACGAAAGTGGTTTACGATGTTCAAATCTCGCAAATCAATTGAGAGGCAAATCAAGGTAACAAAAAATAACTTGGGGAATCGCACGAACTGCAAAAGGAGTAAGACCGGTGCGCCGACAGGATACACGTCTCCTGCTGTACATACGTCCCCCAACATGCGAATCCCCACTCGGTCAAATGTCACAATCGGAAATAAGACACAATCGGTAATATGACAGATCAGACTAATTAACTGGTATCTAAAGATCTAAGATGGCGAACACATGTCACTAGTGAGTAGTATTTGTTTATGAAGCACACCCTTGTTGACGAAGTCCGCATAGTGTGAACATACACGACCGTAATGTATTAACTCAGATATTAAAACGCCAAACGACGGAGAAGAGTGTATTACTGTTTGGAAATGGAAAGTTAACAATTGGAAAGTTGAAATTATCACTTTTCTCACAGATTTTAGGTTGAAGTCGTCCTTCTGTGTAAATATCGAGGAAAAAAGATCAATACACGAAGTAGTATTCTTACTATTCCTGGGATACACGAGATGGAAGCAATCATTGAAGTGGTGGTAAGAACTTTAAAAGATGTTTAGTCAAACATCTTGGCGACCGGCGTTGTATCGTTCTTTAAAAGTATGTTGCGAAGTAAAGGTATCCAGTATAAAGATCTGAGAATTTCATCGATCTTGTATGTTACCAACAAAGGAGAGAAGGGCGGATTTATGTTTTTTTCTAAAATCTCTCTCGAAAATGATTTAGGGGTATGTGTGGGATTCCAAATTTTGCTGTGAATTCCAAATTCATTAGTGTGATATTCCAAATAACTATTTTTGCATATAAAGACAGTATTGTGTGAGGCTTAAGCTTTGTCTGCTGTAACAACAACGAATTTAGTGCATGTAATACTTATCGCTGGAGGTTACGAAAAATATCCCACAATTAATCAACAATGACAAGATAACAAAAAAGAAGCAATGAATGATTTTGCTAGACATGGATATTGATGCAGCATTTTGATTGCTTATATGATGAACCACACGTTGGTTGAGAACTCTGAAACAACCTGAATGGTTTAAAACTTTTTAAAAGTGAAAAATTTTACATACACTACAACCAATTCGTTGTCTTGTAGTACTATAATGTAGTATACAATGTAAATACAAAAAATGTGAATGGATAATCTCATGGTAAAAATATTAAAACGACATTTATTGGCTAAAATAACAATTTTGTCCTGTCCTCATAGACTATTTTCATTGACTTTTTCCATTAGTACTATTTGCACGTGTAAGCATAATTTTTGTTAACCTCTTGACAAATTGTCTAGTTTGTCCACTATGGAGAACATTGAAATAATTGTAAATGTTGTTTTCCTGTAATCTTATATTTTCTTAGGTTTCAATTTGCTATAGTGCAATCATATCAAACTTATTAAAACACTTTTAACCCTGTTGATCCTTTTGGAGTTCATACGATTCCCTCAGTTTTTGTTTGTTACCTTGAATTGTCTCTTCTTAATCGTTTTACAAAGTTAGAACTTTAGTAAACTACTGTTGCTTTACTATATTAACAATAAATGACCAATAATAAATTGAATAAAATGTTAGCTTACGACCAGAACAGACTCCTTCTACAGTTCTGTTTGAACAGCCACATTTATTAGGTCCAAGGCAGATCTCACTATTTTGACAGCCAGGATAACAAATAGCTGAAATATAACACATTAAAACATAAAAAAGGCAATATCAATATCTTAATGCAACGGTTATCTAAGCATAATGTTTCGAAGCTGTCTGTTTATTTCTAAAGGTATGATATTTATATTATTACCGCTTTTCACTTAATTCAAATTTAAAAAAAAAATTGGATCGTGGTATATAAACTGCTTATGTATTTAAATTCAATTGTGGGTTTTTGAAGATATACATCTTTCATATAAACATCTTATCCCAAACCACCAAGAACTGTAAAAGAGAGAACGCTTACAAGTTGAACTAAAATGCAATCAGGCTAATTGAAGAATAGGAGGATCTGTAAAAAAAAAAAAAGGAACACACACACACACACAGAGAGAAAAAACAAATACACACACAGAAGAAAAAAAAACAAATAAATAAAAATATCCAATCTGATTATTAGCCATGGCACGTTCTAATCCATGCAATTAAATCATTTAACTTTCTTTCCCATATGATACATAACACCGATGTATTTGTGACAAGTAAAAAATTGAAAGAAGAAATAGACATATATATTTTGATTAACTCTTGAGTTGTTCTGATCCCAATACTTGTTCATTATACCTTTTATATCATCTACCTAAATTTGTTTGATTTTGAATTTATAAACGCCCTCCATTAGTTGCACTAGTGGATTACGACTGCCGATGAGTTTGTAGACCGACGGCTAAATGTTCTAGGGATACACTTATAAGCGCCTCTCATTTTGTCGCATAAGAGAGAGAGAGAGAGAGAGAGATAGAGAGAGAGAGAGAGAGAGAGAGAGAGAGAGAGAGAGGGGATATCAAGGGGTCAATTGAAAATCAATCAGAATTAAGGATATCAAGGGGCCAATCGAAAATCAATCAGAATAAAAACAGACAACACCATGGCCAAAAAGAAAATCTACAAAACAACTATGATAAAATACTACACAGAAAACTAGAAATTTAACAATATGGACCTCAAATGTGTATAAAACAGTGGCGTAAAATACCACTGGAACATTCAAAACTCATTAGTACAAGTGAAACTGACAATGACATGTCAAAAGACGACGAAAAGAAAAACAAGTTAACATAATTCTAAATAGAAAACCGGAGACTTAGCAACACGATCTTGAACAAAAACTGGAAGTAATCTCAGGTGCTCCAGAATGGAAGGCAGATTCTGCTCCTCTTGTAGCATCCTTTATGTTTCATCATGTATAGTAAATATTCTATGATTAAGTCTCATTTGTTGATGTCACAATCGAGGAAAATAGAACGGGATTGTGGTTTCGACAATTGGAACATATCCGTGGTCATATATAAATAACTCAGATATTCCATGACAGTCAAACAACTCGTGATGGCGTCCATAAACGCTTGATGGGATTGGATCCCTAGCTTCATCGAAAGCAACAACCCTATTTCTACGAAATCATCATAGGAAACGCCGGCTCTGGATTATCGTTTCAACTGGGATAGATATACTACATATACAGATGCCACTTGGATTTTGGTACATAGGAATGGAGGGTTCACTATTGTAAAAACGATATCTAAGCTAACCCTCATTAGCAATTTCTAGATTTTACTCAAGATACAATTATGAGGATATGTGTATCTGTGATATTTCAAGCTTGATGAGATAAATAGGTTCAACATTTACCAAACTTTGAATTATTTAGTGAAAGATCATAATATATATAGCGAAACGGGAAGTGAAAGGGTGCGTGTAATGCTAGCTACTTAAACGTAAAACATATGTTGTCTATGAAAAATTAAGCATCTTGATGATATCAGCTCATGATATTTTTTTGTATTTGAATGAGAGTGGGTTTTTTTTCTCTCACAAAGTATAATGTATCCCTTCCTAAAATAAGTTGTATGTATCTACGTTAGCAATTCTTTTATTAAAACAAAGCTAGACTAATTCTACCAATCTATCTTTCAGTATATAATGGGGAATACTAGTGTAAAGGGTAGAGAAGTCAAATAGTGTTATATCGTTGCAATATGAATGATAGTTAGATTGTTTGTAAAATAACAGAACCTTGGAATTTTTTAGTTTACCACATCTGATTCACACCGCCCCTAGCGTAGGTAGTTGCACAGTAACTCTGAAGTCCGACTTTGATTGCTGAGAACATTGATGTTAATAGTTTGGAAAGAGGTTTCTTGGAGCTCTTGGTAGACCCAACCGTTGTTCTTTAGGTCACTTGCGTAATTTTGGTATCCAGTACAGTGATGGAAGACCTATTTCTTCATCTTTGGTACAAATTCCAAAGGAAGACAGAACAGACCTATGCCTGCTTAGGGTTTCTATTTTTGTAAGTGTGGTGGCAGTGTATGTTGAGTTTCCAAGTTGTATTGTATTGTCAATACCTAATTCCGTTATCAATCACTTTATGTAATATAATTTACACACTTAAACGATGCTGTTATAGGCTTTATCTGCGGGGATAGCATATATTTTTGTCAAGGAGGCACAGGTGCCTACCAATATATAAGTCTTTGAAAATGGGTGTAGTACAAGTGTTCATAGACCCATTAATATTTTTAATTCTAATTTGTATCAGAAACCTCCTAGTCCCTTAACACATACGGAAAGAGTATCCACCTCTTGTTTTTTTCGCGTTTAGCCCATTGTCTGGCATAATCATCAACTGAACCCATAAGTATTTTTAAGGGGTGTTTCCAAGTAACGGATTTAGGCTCACGATATTCTTTCTATGGAATATTGACCCTTCTTAAAACATCCCCTTTACAACTAAAATAAACAAGTATTTAAATATCCAGAGCAAATTCCTATCATCAAGCTATTTCAGTACAGTGTTGTTTGACACTCCCACGAAAATACTTTCTGTGTTCAGAGCTTGAGCGCTGATGACCGAATTTGTTGAAATGTTTGCATTTTTGCTAACATATGTCAAATATCAGTGAGATTTGAATTCACGAAAATTTGACGTTTTGGGGAAGGAAGTGATCCTTTAAAACTGAGACAAGAGAAAATAAAACATTTGCAATGTATACTCATAAAAAAAAAATCTCGACAATCAAGCCAAAGTATACGTAATTGAGCGATATTTACTATTGCTATTAAAGTTTGTATGCATATGAAACTTGGTAAAACTCCATCTGAATATCTAAAAATATGTATTTTTAGTATTCATACCGTCAGGGATACAGGCAATACAGGCGTGTAAAACGTTATGAAAAGTATCTATAAAAGTACAAAATGTACGTAAAATTTGTTGAAAAAAAAAACGATGTCAAAATGCAGTTTTTCTTTAAATTGCAATTTCGAATTTCCATACTCAGAATTTTGTTTAAACATTATATTCTATTTGTATGAATGTTTCAGTTTTAATGATATGAAAATATTAGGCGGTCATACTATCGTGTTTGCCAGTAGAAATCCATTTATCTCGTTATATATAGTGGAAAAAGTTAAAATGACAAAATAAGCGTAACATTGTGACAACGCCACACTGCAAAATCGTAATGTTACATGTTTTTTTTTAAAACATCACTCAAAACTAAATGAATTAGAAAGCCAAAAATGAATCCGGTGACACCCTTATATGTTAATATCAATAAAACAATGTTTGCACCAATAGCATATACTTTTTGAAGAAATTCATAGAGTATATTAAGACAGAACAAATAACAGCTAAATATATGATAAATATAATAAATGTATGAAGTCAATAAAAACTTGTATTGGAGTTTGGCTTATGCAATATTTTTTTTACGGACACCATTTATATTCCTGCACACCCCTTGTAAATCAAAACTCATTACAGATACCAGGCTTATAATTTTGAACGCCAGATGCGCGTTTCGTCTACAAATGATTCATCCAGTGACGCTCGAATAAAAAACCCTAAAGGCCAATGCAAATGTATAACTAGTATTATTCCTCTATGAACAAACATTTAGATGTTTCATTTGCTTAGACCAACCCTTTAGTACATTGTAATATACATAAATAATTCAGAATTTCACTAAATACGAAATAAATACATGCATATTAAACTTACGAACGTCGCAAGTATATCCTTTCCATCCATTGCAGCAATAGACCTCTCTGTAACTTCTTGAAATTGAACACCTGCATAAATTTGAATATTGTAATATGTTAGTTTGTATTTTATAGTGTGTCTTTCTATGCTGTGATGTTACACTATTGTTTCAGGTAGGGTACACAATTGTTTCAGGTAGGGTGAAGGTTGGCGCCTATTAAAACGTTTAAACCCGCTGCATTTGTTTGCACCTATCCTGAGTCAGGAACCTGATGTTCAGTGGTTGTCGTTTGTTGATGTGGTTCATAAGTGTTTCTCGTTTTTTTATAAAGATTAGGCCGTTGGTTTTCCTGTTTGAATGGTTTTACACTAGTCATTTTTTGGGCCCTTTATAACTTGCTGTTCGGTGTGAGCCAAGGCTCCGTGTTGAAGGCCGTACTTTTACTTATAATGGTTTACTTTTACAAATTGTGACTTGAATGGAGAGTTGTCTCATTGGCACTCATACCACATCTTCTTATATCTAGTTATCAGTTTACATGCGATTATTTTATTCTTTTACCAGATTAGAACATGCTTGTTCTATAGACATGTCAATACGGCATCAAAGCACAACAAAACTGCGGGCTCGTTTCATTGAAAATATCTTCAATTGGGATATTGCTTTCATCTGCAATTATTTTTATAAAGTTTTGCGAGTTTCAGAGTTTTCAATTTTTCTGTCGGCTATTGCAATCCACGGTAGATAAATTAAGTACTGTTGCCATAATTGAACTATTTTTTGTCTTCGTGATTTGTATCAAGGGTCCATTCTTATATTACCACCTTTATAGATGAAATCGTTGAGGGTGGTAATATGTGTCAGTACTGCTATTTTAGTTAGCAATTTGTGGATCGGAGTCACCGTTTCATTTTGTCAAATAGGTGCTTTGCCTATGAATAATTGATTGTTTTAAAGATAAACAAGTAGATGGTACACATCCACTTGTATACGCCTCTGTATATTTTCGTCTGATGTCAAATGTTCAAACAGGTGTAGAAAAACAGACAAAGACTATGAATTAAAGACCTGATTATCTGCCTCATGCATAGCTCTTATTCCTTGTTTGGGTTTGGCTTTACTTTTGGTCTTTTTTGGTTTTATTCACTCTTCAACGTTTGTATTGATTTTGGAATTTCAAATATTTTGGCCTAGAGCATCCCTAAAGAGACATTAATTGTCGACATTAGCATATTGTGCAATCAAATTGATATCGTTATTCGTTATTCTTAAATTCTATGCCAGATTAAATATTTAAGTTCAACATTGACAAAACTTCATAAAACAAACGGTGATACATATAAAAATATCTTGTTATAAAGGTGAAACTATCACTTTGAAAAGATTGTCAAAGTTACCAGCTGGCTTAGAATTTGGAACGCCATTGGCAATTATACAACATCTTCTTATTTTTACAGCTTTTGTCGTCATTAATGCGCGACCGTCGTGATTATAAAACTAATTGCGCTAAAAATTCTGAAGAAATGCAGTGTATTCTCTAGAATGAACAGTCACAATGGTATTAAACATTTGTTGAAAATGATCAAACATATGTTTCTTGTCTTTGTCTTGGCAATTACGTCATTTTTACATATGTGATAGTCATTCCCTTTCTATAATCATACTTTGTTCGTTATGAACCCTTCCAAATACTGACGTAAACAATAATCTACTGTTAACTGTGAGTTTCTACTAATACCAAATCTTTAGTTTTTTAGTTGACAGAAATAAAATGTGAAGCATTGAAAACTGTTAAAACCAACCACACGAAAATATGCCAGTCCCTTGTCAAGAATCTCGTCAGTGATACTCGCCGTCTGTTCACGTATCAGCATATTGAGCGTATAGTTTATTCATATCAATTCATTATGGTAAAATATCAGGATACATACCCGGAACCACTAATATGACAAGAACTAGCGTCATACTGGTATTGTTTTTGTCTCTTGCAAAAATGTCTACAAAGTATAAAGATATAATATAAGGATGACAGCAACATCACAGGTTGTCATTTGTCAATTATTTAACTTATATGAATGACTTTTGTATTATTTTCATCACTAACTTCCATTAATTACTATAATCAAAGAAACGCAGTACTGAACCATAACGGACATAACCTAAACCATGCCATCACTTATTGTAGAGAATTTTCATTCTTTCAACTTAAATTATGTGCAATAGAAGGGATTTTTTTTATCAAGAAATCTAAAATAAATTGTAATAATGTGATGTATTAGACCATGAAAGAACATATTGTATGTGTGAAAAAAATTAGGTCACTTTAAAGGTTAACGTATGTAAGCGTTTTTCAATGTCACAGTTTTCTATATATTGGAATAAAATATCATTTACAAACATACTAGCTATATAAAAAAACTTCTGACCAAGAGACGGTTGTCTTCATAACTTCATTTGTAAAAATCCTTACTTTAATACTTGAATTGCATTGTCATTCAATACAATACTTTACTATGTGATGACTCAGTGATGACCCAGTGCACAAAATTTTAATTAGTATGACAGCATTGCTTCCTAAGGATTTTAGTTTTCTTGTTACATATTATATGTTCCTGTAAATTATTTGAGTTTGAAAAAGGTATGTGCATGGTCAATGTGAATAGAATTCGACGAAATTAACACATATTAGCCATTATGTACGACCGTCCTCAATAAATAACGGATAATACGCAGCAGCCACTATGTACGACCGTCCTCAATAAATAACGGGCAATACGTAGCAGGAAGTACGTAATAATGTAAGAATCGATATAGCAAAATCCAACAGATTCAACCTTCACAAACTCAAAAATTTGGGTTTTGATTTTGGTATTATAATAGCCTATGACATTGTAAAATGTAATATATTGTATCACCAGATGAAAAAACCTTTCCCCTTTGAGCGAATTTTTTTTCAAAGTTCAATCATCTTCTCCAGTCAATACGTAATAATTCAATGTCTATAATCTACAAGGTGATTTTGATTGATTGATTGGTTGGTGTTTAACGCCACGTTCAGCACTATTGTGTTATTTTGTGGCGGTCAGTTTTTATTGGTGGAGGAAATCGGAGTGCCCGGAGAAACCCACCGACCATTGGTAGGAAAACTGACAATCCTAGTCAATTTAGATTGGAGTCGAGCGCATCTGCGACATGCGGAATTCGAACTCACAACCTCAGTGTTGACAGGCTAGTGATACAGTACTTCGACTACTTGTACCACTCGGCCACCGAGGCCCCTCAAAGGTGATTTTGTCTTTCAGTATATCAAAATATTATTCGAAAGAATGCTTTATAAGGCATGCCTTTTTATCGAATTTTCTAAATTAGAATACCATAATTGTCAATCACTTAAAAAATGGCAAGCATCTGCATTCTACGCATACATTCTGATGAATAAAACAGTATCCCAAGGGATAAATTGAGATACTTATATGACAAGTGTTGTTATAAAGTTGCATGTGACATATTGATACTAATTCAAACAACATATAGTTGCTTATTGTTTTTGGAGGGATGTAAGTGAGAAAATTATTGCCGTTAATTACAAAATCACTTTCAGTCCATTATGATTGTTGTCCTTACGCTGAATCGATCTGACTTAGCATCTCGCTCCAGTTGACCGACTTTTAGCGGAATAAAGGGCGTTGGATTATGAAAATATCAAGACACTTGTACTCGTTCGAACATTCTGCATCTGCTTTTTTACATCGCGATGATCTGAGGGCATTCCGATGTATTGTTGCCACAGAGATTTCTACTTACGTAACTTTCGTTTTTGACTGGTTACCGATCTATAAATACGCGGACATTATCGAGTGCAAAATAACATTCCTTATCGTTTGTAATAAATTCATTTCTCAATGAATAATTATAAAAATATTTTTTTAGAACATAAATTAATAATATGAAAATGTTTTGTCGTTAGAAATATATATATAAGTAAAAAATCATTCATATCTATGCACAGGTACAGAAAAGTTGTGTTAACGCATGCGGAAGAATATCACAAGAACGTTTTGCGGGAAAATATGAATGCCTACTCAAATTCTATCTTTTAGAAAAATCGAATTATTACAGAAGAGTGTCCACCATGCACTTGCACTGCACTATTATTAGAATAGTAGAATAGAATGATATACAAATGGATGAAAATTATATATACATGTAACTGTTATATACAAATATTAATATAATATATAACAACAAAGCAGAGTATATTGATTTGTATCGCTACAATATAATAGTTATTACGGTGAGGTTGAATTCCCTGTCATATATTCATCATCCACGCACGAACTTGTCTCAGAAAAATATATATCTCTGTACATTAACCTAACTTTCAGGTATAGAGATGTGATTTTTTTCTGAGACAAGTGCTTGTGACCATCCACAAGAACTTGCGGTCATCCGATGTTCAGTACTTCAGTACTTTGATTATACATTATTCGATGATGCTGACTTGTAGTAGATTAAGTTTTCATTTCGTTCCGGTTGATCAATTTTGAGGGAATTATAATCTTAGATTAATAAATTGTCATGAAAATTGTACCTTTCAGAACAATTTTTAATGCCTGAAGATATGAAGCTGAATAGTGGTACCCAAATCACTGTGAATAATGATGACTTACAGGTCGATTTTACGTCTCTGTCCAGTTGACCTACTATACCGACATGGCTGCAGGCTGTCTTACGAAAACGTTGATAAACAAACGGTTTATATATAACAAAATACAATAAAACGCTGTTCTAGAAAAACACTTAACTAAAAATAATAGTATTGAGACAACCAAAGTACAAATACAAAAACTTTAAAGAATAAGCAATACTAAATTGTACAATACAATGTTGTCAGTATATTTAGGTTAAAATCAAAACGATGTCTTAAGCATACCCGATAAATTGCACCAATATAGAATTTAATTTTTGTCTTTGTATTAACGTTAATCAATTTTCATAAAATGTTCCTCATCAAACCCGACAGAAAAATAAACAAACACGCGGATGCAATTTTGAACAGTACATGGAAGACA